ATATTATATATTTATATAATATAAGTTATATAATTAATATAATATATTATTTATATATATTAATATTAGGGATGTCAAATTGGCTCTTAGTTCGTGAACAGCTCGTATTTGGCTTGTTCGTTAAGAAGCGAATGTGAACAGTGACTTCACGAACAATTTCGAACACGAGTTTATTTCAAACGAACCGAACACGAACACAAGCTCTGTTCCTTCGTGTTCGGTTCGTTCTCACCCCTAGTTTTAGCATTGTCGTGGTGAAGAATTCATTACATTTGCATTGAAAATTCGAAACCATTTGTAATGCTTTCAATTTTTGCGCTGTGGGTATCCACATTTTGTGAATATTTTTGTAACCTGATGGTTTAAAAAGAATATTTCAGTGATCCAAATAAATAAATAAATAATAATAAAAACTATAGAGCTGATCAAGACCACTTTCACTTTCTATTCATTCTTGTTTTCAAAGATATTTGTTCATTATATATATATATATATATATTTATATACTTTTATTTATAAAAAACATAATCTTCAACAACACTCAAAATAATATCCAATGTGTTGTATATTTGAAGAATAATACTACTTATGAATATTTTCAACTTTATAAAACAAAAAATGATCTAAATATCCCTCTTAAAGACTTCTGATTGATTGACATATAAACCATACATAGATACAATGTCCTCCAACACTATATCAGGGGAACGATACTGACATTCCAACAATCATAACATGAGATACATATTTTGGTAAAGACAATTTATTACGTAAATCATAAAGACAGTAGCACGTCTTCATCACACAATTCAATACATTAATACATAGCAATCATGAATCTCATTTCAAACGAAAATGAACGATTATTCAGAAAGGCGCTACATTTATAGTTGGAGAGGTTCATTAATTCAAATAATGCAGTAAAAACTTATATATATAAAACAGCTTTTCACAATCAACAACGTTATATTTTAAGAAGACAAAGGCCCCAAAACAGCCGATTAAACCCACGAAAATGATAGTAATAATAACAATTATTCGTCAGGGAACAGAAGTAGAATTAACAGGCCGGCATTCACAAGTGCATAGATTCCTTGATCCTTTCACCAGTCGCTGTGACCGCCGTATATGCAACTTGATGTTCAACAATTTACCAGCAATCTGTGGGATTAATGATTAGAAAAATGTCAGTACAATATTGATTATAGGTTTATTTCTTTAGGTAACACTTTATATGAAGGAAATGTCAAACTCATTACTGCTTCACAAACTCAAGTATATGGTTCAATCAGTTTTCACACATGGAAGGGATATAGTTAACAATATTAGTTTAGGGCATTTACATACATAATCATTCAATTCCTATCACTTAACTTTGTTTTTTTCATTTATACCAATCAGATCTTTCATACATATGAAAAATACCACCATTTTAACGTTAAAAAGGTGAAATACACCTTTTCATGTATGGTTAAGGTGATATTGTATGTAAAGATTGAAGTTTTAAATAAGTAAATTCATATGAATTGAGTGGTGTGTATATAAATCTTCTTATTATATTTAGTGATGAACTATTGCATGGGTTTAATTCTAATAGTACTCCCGAGTAGTTTTACTCTAAGGTCGACATTAGGAACGCCTTTGACAAAGTCAACACACAGTTTTTATATAATAGACTAGAAATGTTGACCTCAGAGATCTTTTTTAAGTAGACTATTGTTTTTACTAGCGGTCATAAATGGAGATTATAGAGGTTACTCTCCCTCTACATCTATTCTTCGTCAAGGATGTCATTTATCCTCATTTTTATCCACCTTCATTATAACAGTTCTTTTATACTCATGAGTAATAGCTGCTAATTTGAAAACAAAAGGTATAAAAAATAATAATACTCTCATCATTTATTTAATTTATACTGATGACTTCTTGTTTTTGGTATAGATGAGATTATAGCCAGCATTTGTCTCCTCTATTATTGAATTATTTAAAAAAGCTTTTAAGTATTATAACAATTATAGTAAGTCTATTATACGATTTTATAATGCTATTGATCCCGTTATCGAGGACCAAATTTGTCTTATCATGGGGTTAAATGCAAAAAATCTTCCTTCGGATCACAATGGTCACTATCTCTTCTTCTAAAACTAAAAATCTTGCTTGCATCAAAATGATGGATAAAACGCAAACTTAGCTTAGTGGATGGAAACACAATCATTTCTTTTGTTGTCAGGATTCAATTAATCGGATCTATTATTTGGAACTGCTTACATCATTGATTTAGATCCCCATCACTTCACCTAAAAGCCTTAGAAAGAATATTTCCAGTTTAATGAATAATTTATTGCATAATGTTGGAGCCAATAACATTATTATTTGGAACTGTTTACATATCTTGGCTCAATTGTGATTTCATAACTAGAGTGAAAGACTTTATTATTGACGAGCCCTGAAATTTCGCTGATACTACCAAGAAGACTCACTTTGAAGGCAACAAATTCAAAGATATCTATCATTAGATCCTTGGTTTGTTATATACGGATGGAAAGTGATGCATTTTCTTATAAATCTATCCATGCCATGCTGCACACTCAATAGATTTGGTATAAAGGTTGTGCTATTAAATTTTCTATGTTTACTTGAGAAATAATCATTTGAGGGCTTAAAAAAAAGGATGCTCCGGTGGTAAGGGAATTAATATTGATACTACGTATGTTCTATGCAATTCACACAATGAATCTCACCTACATTTATTCTTTGAATACCTGAAACTTATATGCATCTTGACGAAAGGTCAAGTCCCGAAGGAATTTTTTTTTCACATGGGATGTACTTCCACATTAAGTGCTCTCCCATATTGATTATAGCAACCGTAAGATTACTAAAAAAAAATTTCTTTTAGCCACTCACATAACTGCCTAATACATTTCTATTAGAAAAAAAAAAATTAAAATCATATTTCAGGATTGCAGCCCTTCTGTTGACATCCTATTTTAAAAAAATCACTTCACTACTAAACAAAAAATGTAGGAAGTGGAAGTTTAAAAGTACTTTGCCAGAGAACATATTAAAGCCAATATTTCTGATAACTGTGGCGCCTATTTATGTTTTTGATGTTGTTTGTCCTGGTTCAATTTGGAATGGCTGCCATATTTTCTAGATACTTTTGGTAACTCTCGGAATATTCATTTTGGTGGCTTATTGCCTTTGGCTGATTACTCCTTCGATTATTCAATGGTATTTATGACTTCAAATTGGATTTTCAATCATTTTGTTAAGCTAAAGCCTTTCCTAAGGTGGCTGCTCCCCTTTCCTTCTCGTCACGGTGCATATAAATTATGCTAGAGTTTTGAATTGCATTCTATACACAGGGATTTCTCAACCTACAACACACCATATATAGGAAGCTTATTATAGCTTTGTTTTTTTTCCGAGTGATAATGTGAATTCTCTCTAATATATGGTTCAACCAAGAAGGCAATCTTATCCCTAAGCCTTTTGGCAATTAACGTTTATTACACATTCATTTCTACCTTCAGACAAAACCAATCATATATTTGTAAATTCACTACTTAGTCTCCCAAAGTTCTAATTTTTGCAAGAATTTTTTACTTTAATTTTGATTATGTGATTTTTCTTATTGTTCACAAGTTCTCTTCGTTATTTCACATTTTTTAAGTGTGATGATTTGTAACGTTTTGTTGCTTCAATGAAGCTGGAACTGGCTTTGTGCCTCTGAGTGAGGTAGGTCTATGTGGATGGAATCGAGTTTAAACAGAAGGAAGGAGTGGGCCACCATGGGATTAGAAAATAAAAATAATTATTATCAAAGAAACATGTAAAGCGTATCCTCAAAAAGAATGAAATTCTGATCTTAAGTAATTAAGAAATAAATGAACAAGGGGTGAGCACAAACCATTCTCCAGGTGAAGTCCTCTGCTCCAAGTGGCCGAGCTGGACTTGAATAGAGGAAATGTTTCGAATACTAGTAGTTGAAGAATAATAAAACAATTAGTGTAGTTATGGAAACACATGGTTTCAACTGCAATTTAAGAAATGTTGCACTTAACTCGAGTAGAAAAACTAACCTTTTCAAGGTTTTTCTGCATTTCTTCGATTTGCCTCAAATTAATACTCTTGAGAAATTTTACAAGCCAACCAGATTGTACAGCATCGCTTGAAGAAATAAAAAAGGCTATCTGAACGATGAAAAATTGAAGAAAATAAGCATTATTGAACCATTAATATATAATATCAATCAACGAAAAACATGAATTTTCACTTATCCCACAATCCGGGCCTTGAAAATTTATTCACTTTCTTTAGCCCTGAAGAGAACATATCAACTTAGATTCCCATTTCCAAAGTATGAACATTGCTTCTTCCAAATTCAAACAGCTTCCCCAACTAAGAGAGATTTTTTTTTTGGAAAATTTACATACATACCACACAATTCTTATCTATTTACATATCTAACACCTACTAAAGTTTGATATTTACATTTATAAAACTTTGGTATTATAAACATATGCATGAAAAGGTGTATTTCACTTTAAAAAGCTAGCAATAGTGGTATTTTTGTTGTGATGTTAAATATTGGAGTGGTAAGCATGCAAATACTAAAGTTTATGTGTTAGAAATGTAAATATATAAGAATTGTGTGTTATGTATGTAAATGTCCCCTTTTTGTTCTTCTTAGTATCTACAACAATCCAACATCTGTTCTATCATATATGAACTTGCCTCGCTACTTTTCCTTCGTTTGACTAGCAGGTTTATCAAGATTCAATAAGAACAACCATTAATTAAGACTCAATAAGAACAACCATTGAGCTAAGGTAATCAATGTAAAATAAGAAATGTATAATGCCAGTGATAAGTAATTTAATGAAATATGGAAAGAAGTTGAAGCTGAAACTAAAATAATCTTAAAACACTACATCTAATATGGCTATTTATTAGAAGAAATGTCAAACCGAAGTATTCCAAACTTATGATGCAAGCACGCAGAGACAGCACATCAAATGATTTTGGGCACAGAATATTGTTATTCAAATCAATTATTAACATAGCAAAGGGTAAAGTTAATACCAAGAGGTAGAAAATACAAAAGAGATGCCCTCAGAAGCAAACCTACCTTTCTATAATCTAATAGTCCTTCAAATGGAAGCTCCAATTCATCACTAACTATAACAGGTATGCATCCACTCACAATAGCATCAAACAGCCTAGCAGAAGATGGTGTATCGCCAGCTGGGCTCAAACAAAATAGGGATCTGTTATCAATATAAACTAGTTAAAATTGCAACATAAACAATCAGCATCTTACAAATGTTTAATTTAAAAAAAAAACTAGCTTTAGAACTTTTTTTCTTTACTTGCGCATGCCATTCTGAGCAGCTTCCTTCCCAGCCACTCCAACGGTTCCCTCTTCTATTATAACACCCTCAGCATCTTGTAGAATTTCTACTAGTTTGCTTCTAACTTTGCCCCCCTAAACAATTGATTACAGGATTTAGAACATGATTTAGCACCCGAGTTCACATAATCTAAGAAAAAAATAAACTAAAAAGAGCTTACAGCATTTCTTTTAAGCCTTCCCCGGAAGAAAAGTAATGTACTTCGTTTAGAGTGAGATTCACGTAAACATTGGGCATCACACAAATCGACATTAGGAACATATGGCAAGATAAGGTCCTTCTCAAGCCAAACCTGGCCAGGCTTATACCTACGTTGGAAAATTTTAGAAAGGCTCCAAGACCAATTCATTATTGACACAAGAAACTAATATTATTCGCATGGAACAGCTTCTTAAGTAGTGGAAAAAGAACCCAATTATAGATGTTAACTATGGAAATGAGAGAATCATTACCAGTTCCCAGTGGCGTCCATATCAGGGAGAAGCCAAATTGCCTTTTTCATATATCTCCGTACGGACTTGAAAGACCATGGGTGGTGAACCGGAAGAATATGGTCCCTCCCTTCAGATCGTTGCCATGCTGGCTGATCAGTTACCCACTTCAAGGCTTCCTGCTTTCACAAATCAACAAAATATGAATAGTAACTGCTAATTCAGAAAAATATATGATGAAAATTTAAAAGTATACATACATCAAGGCATATATGATCATCTATACAAGTTTATCGTTGCATTTTGTTTTTTAGTTTTTTTAATTATTAACTTTTTTTTTTCTTCTAGTTTATTGTGTGTAAACTTGCCTATGACATTGGTTCCTATATGAACCGAATGCATTCTCTATTGTTTTTTCTGGAACTTGATCATTATTAAATAATTTCAACTCAACCATCAAACTCTACTGAGCTTATATGGCATAGTAGGAATTGCTAACTATTACCCACTATTATTCTTATTCCTCCATTAATTATTGTTGCACTTCTCTCTTGATTTCGCTTCCCACAGTTATCATAGTCCCGGGTGGAAACCTGATTGCTGTCCCCGACATGCTGAAAGATTTCGTATGAGTTCTCTTTTTGGGCTCTTCGTAGTTATAAATAGAACATCTAAGCCAACTAAAACATTTAATATTGAAATAAAATTAAGTTTCTCTTTTCATGTATATGATTATTGTATATGCATACTCTTGAGAGCTTAAGAACTACTTCCAGGGACAAAGCTCCTTGCACATGCATAAGACCTAGACCTTATTTTCGGCTATTTATATCACTGTTCATAATTTAACTTGTTTGACTGTTGCTTCATGTGCATGATTACCATATAGTGCCAGATATTCTTCTCAAAGCATGAACTTAATTTTGGTGACACTTTGTGTTGATTGTATTTTATTTAAGATTTTGACAATCATTAAATTACTTTTTGAGAATAAAAAATAGTGTGTGCTATATTTACGTCAAAACACACAAAGTTCATAGTAAAGTTAGTAACATACATATTATGTTTTGAGGTGAGCATATGCACACATAAATGAATGCATGGGTACATCTGCATACATCTAAATACAAAAATGGAATCAGCACCCACATCATCAGCATCATTAGGCTTATCCCATGTTTTGAGGAAAGCTTGATGAAGCCCCCTACATTAATTCTTCTTTTTATGAATGCTACATGAGATATTTACTATTCCCTATCAATATCTCAACACCTATCCAATGATTTAAACAATTCAGCATAGTAATGATACTTTGGAGGTTAAGGCATAATAAATAATATATATATATA